CTCTTTTTAAGATTTTGATTATAAAGTTTTGCAAGTTAATTATTATGTAAAACATGTTAACAAAGCTTATATTTGGGCGGTTAGTTTGATTTTGAAATATGGCAATTAACCATATAATTGGCGTCACATGATTAATAAGATAGAACATTTATAGTATATAATATAAAGTATAAAATTATAGTTATTAAAAAACAACCATAACTTTTAACTTTATAAACATATTAAATAATAAAACTATGTACAATTCTAATATAAAGAAATCTAAACTAAAACATCTCCATCATCCTGTTCTAGAGAGACCTCATCTCCCTTTGCTCACACTCACAAGATGATCATTGCAAAGAAAAGAATACTGCAACATACAACATACAAACACAAACAAAAGAAGAAAGGTAAGCTATATTACAATAATTTATGATATATATATATATATATATATATATATATATATATATATATATATATATAAGAATCACCATATTAAATTCACATCACAACTCTAACACATCCAACCAAACAACCACTTATTATGCATGACGACCTTTTTTACTTGATCATCCGAAATTATATGAATATGTAGCTATGACAGTTCGTGCATTTGTTGTGGTGAAACAACTGGCCCACTCTAAGCTACCACACAAAGTTAGTTCGTTATTACTCATCTTAGACCAAGGTAAAACCCCTAGACTAGGACCTCCTGTTATTCTCACCACATGCCTCACCTTTCTCTACTTGATAATAAGTGACCATTAGAATGTCAAGATGAACTCTAAGACTAAGCTTCCCATATTCATACCCACAAAACTTGAAACCATCACTAAGAAATTCCTCCTTGAAATTCTCTTACATACCATTTTGAAACCATATATTTTCCCTTTTTGAATCAGAATACGTAATATATGTAATCAAGAAAATCTCATAAGCACTTACACATCATTCACAATGAATCAAAACATAACTCAAATCAATCAATAATAAATAAGGAAAGAGTAAACCAAAACTTGGACCAGTCGCTCAACGACCCCTCTCGCTGGGCGACCACAAACTTCTCTCGTTCAGTGAACCCGCTCGTTATGCGAGTACATAGATTGTGTTTTCCAAACCTCAACCTCTCGCTCAGCGACCTAGCTCGATGTGCGAATAAAATGACATTAATCCCATACCGCAACCTTTCGCGCAACAATCCTACTCGCTAGGTGAGACCAGAAACAGTGGTTCAAACCATTCAACCACTCACCCAACGACCCAACTCGTTAGGCAAATCCAGAGACAGTAGTCCAAACCCCTCAATCACTCGCTAAGTGACCCAACTCGCTAAGCGAATCCAGAGACAATTGTCTAGAGCTCTGAACCACTCGCCCAGCGACCCAACTCGCTAGGCGAATCCATAGACAATGGTCTAGACTCCTGACCTCTCGCTGAGCGACATCCATTCGCTCAACGAGTCTGCATAATTGTATAGCATGAAAACTACAAAATTTTTACCCTAAACCACTTTTTACCAATTTGATATAATTTTTCCAACTTCTAACCCTCCTAGATTCTGTTATACACTCAATTATACTTAACCAATTGTGTCTAAACCATCTTAAACTCATTTTAAACAAATGACTTCAAGATTTCAATAAGAAACTTACAAAACTTCAATTTAGAGAGTCAAATTGAATTCCACCACTTATAGCTCACTTTTGGACCATTTAGTGACTTCAATAAGTCACAAATGACTTATCCAAACCTTAGAAACTGACTCTTTATGCACATAACCACAAACTCAAAATTTCACTATGCAACAAATCTAATTCAACTAAAAACAACTAAAAACTCAACCTAAAATCAACACTAACCCATCTTACCTATTCCAAACAGACTTCTAGCTATATAACCAGATTTACCAATCAAAATGACTTTAAAACACATTCAACGAGTTATACTCATCCAAGTCATCCAATTTCATCATCATAACAAAAAATAATCAAATTCTCAACATTATCATACAACCAAGCATATACATTTCCCAATATTTAATCACAACACATACATATAAGATTTCCCCCAACATAATCACTATATAGAACAAAATTTCTAGCTTCCCTTACCTCATTAACACTTTCACCGCTCTAAAAGTCTCCGACGGTTGCTTCCTCTGCAAGGAAACTCTAGAAAAACCTACAAATCACCGATTGTTTATTAGAGACAAACCTTAGAATGTAAGTTGAGCCAATAATTGAAGAAAGAAACCACTTGATATATGTAAACAAATTTATTTTCATGATCAAGGATTAAGAGGATACCAAGAAAAATGGGATAAAACTTACTTGCTCTCTAATCAACAAATTAATCGATCAGATAGGTAGCCCTTGTCGCAAGGACCGCCTAGACACCTCCTGATTGTCGAATAGATGATTTAGGAGTAAGAAATTTTAGGAAGAAGTGAGAGGAAACAAAGAGAAAAAACGTTTGAAAGATAAACAATATTTTAAATAATGAGACGAGTTTAAAAAATTATATTTATATATAAAGTTATTTTATAATAAAATACTCAATCTAATTATTTTAATACACCTATCAACTATAATATTCTATTCTATTTTAGGTTTTTACATAAAAAGCACATTAAAATAAAGTGGATTAACTTATGTTACTTTCTATATAATAATCTCATGATTATCTCATAACCATAAATAATGATTAAAGGATGACTTAAAAGATGAAAAATAAACTAAGAAAATAAAATAAAAAATTATTAGGTACAAATATAAATACTATAATAAAAATATAATGCAAAAGTTATGTCAATTTTAATTAAAATAATCATAACATGTCGTTATTAAATCTTTATGAAAATATTGATTGGATTGAAAAATTCAATAACATGTAGATTATAATTAATAGATTTCTAAATTATCATAGTAATCTACAATTAATAAAATGTGGATTAAAAATTATGTTTTCAATAGGTCAATTTAATTATCACTCTCAATTCTTTCTATTACTTTTACAATATTTTTCATTTATATAATTTTAAAAACTGTAAATAATAAGTGTTTTCTTAATAATTTAATTAGAATATACCAGCCATATAAAATAATTTTAGATATTGATATTGTTATAATTGTTAATTTTCGCAATAATTAATTAAATCAATCTAGTTAGAATCTCAAGGTTTCATAGTGACGTTATTTAAAGTAAAATTTTAATAAAAAATAATTAAAAGTCAACTATATTAATAAATAATATAAAAAAGTTATACAAATAATAAATAGTAAAATTTAAATTTATATTCTAATTATATTCCCATATTTACATTGCACAAGAAAGAGACAGAAACTGTATAACACATAATTTTCTATAATAAAAGAAGAACGTTTAATGTGGATGATATCCATAACACTCGATTTTCTACCACTTTTTATTTAACTTTGTATATTTTATAAGCACAAATGACAATCAAACAATAAAAATCAAATTAATTATAGTTTTGTTTCGTATTTAGTTCAAACTTAGACAATGTTTTTAGGAAAAATAGCATAATTGATTTTTGTGAACAAATAGATAAATATTTCAAGAAGTTTAATGTGATTAGTGATCATTAATTATAATTAAAATTTTATAAAATAATGAATACTATGAATTAAAGCATTATTAGTTCATTTAAACTAAGTGCAGGTTACATTATAAGTAGTTTGAAATGGATAAATATTTATTATACAAGTGATTGCAATTTAGGTTCATAATTAGGTTTTAATTTTATTTAGAAAACTCGATTCGAAATGGAATAAATTATGTTCATAAAAAGTAAAATGATTAAAAAAACATTTACACCTTAGGATAATTAAATGCAATGATGCAAAGATAAAGTGAATGTGTATTGTCGTTGCCAGGTCAAAATACTATAATAAATAAGAAATATGTTTAATAGCATTAAATTTATTATTAATCTACAATGCTTTAATATTAAATCTATCAACATATTTTTCAAAGAAGATAAATACTTTCTAGAATGGACACATCGTTATTTAAGGACAATGGGGGAAAAATATAATTAACGAGAAAGAAAATTTAATGAGATATTAATTAACATGAATAAAGAGGCAAAAAGTTAAATATTTTTATCTCAGTTATTTCTGTACATTCTGTAGCCTATTTTGTCGTTTCTCTGTGTCATTTTCATTCGTTTTTGCCCCTTACCTATTTAGTTATCTGTTTTAAATAAACAAAATAAAAATTAGGAAATATTGTTTAAGTATTTACAGAAGTATTAATTTAAACATGAATGTTTAAATTTGAAATTAAGAAATTGAGAAAAAGACACCCTGAAGGTCCATAAATGATCCAACTATTTGTGGCATTATTGTATTACATATCCTGTCGGCAAAACTTACAAAGAAATCCTCATAAAGTGCGTGTGGACTTTCACACCCTCCTCCATCAAATCCAGACCCTTTGACATTTTCAAAAGTCAACTCCATGAAACACAAAAAATAAAAAATATAAATAAATAAAATATATTAAAAGTAAATAGATAAGCATAGAGATGCCAAAATGACATCCACACACTCTCTCTCCCTTCAAAATAAAGCAACTTTTCCTGTTTTTCTATTTTCTTTATTACTTTTTTTTAATAACAATTTTATTCAACTCTGATACCACTATCGTAATAAACAACAAAACCTCAATAACCTGGGCCGATGTTTTTTAATCGGAACACAGTTCAAAATCAACCTTCAGAACCAATTTTTGTATTTAATTTTTAACAGTAAAATTTATTGTATATGAGAAATCATTAAACTGTAATAATTATAAAATTATGGAGCACTGTCATAGTTTTAAGAAAGTTAATTATCTGCTAATTATCCTAATTTTGATTAACAGAAGTGGAACTAGTGAAGGCATTTTCTGTCTGTCTGTCTCTCTCTCTCACTAGACTTTGTGCAAAACTCGCTCTTTTCTCTTTCTATAAATACAAGTCCATCCCCACTCATTGCACCTTATCATTTCTCTCTCTGGTGAAAAGTCAGCGCCTTCTTTTGTCTTTTCTCTCTCTCAACAAAGGGCATACACTGCAGAGTTTGTCTCCATGGCCGAAGATTGGGATCTACATGCGGTGGTCAGAGGTTGCTCCACCGTCACATCATCCTCCGTGTCGTCTTCTTCTTCCTCCTCCTCTGGTTTTGCCTCTTGTTACTTCCACCCTGAAGGAGTTTCCTCCTCCTCCTCTTCTTCTGGCTTTTCCATCTTCAGAGGTGAACAAGGAAGCCAGGTTCTGTCGCTTTCTGCGTACCCCTTTGAGGCAAGGAGCCCCATTGAGGAGCTGCATGAGCTTTGCAGGCCTTTCTTCTGCAAATCTCAGCCTCTCTCGTTGCAAGCCTCTTCCCCCTTGTCCTCACTCTCTTCCTATTCTTCTGCGCCTCCCAAAACGGTTTCATCTCAAGAGAAGCAACAACAACAGCGAAACAAGCAGCCGCTCTCTGTCACCACCCCACGATCTAAAAGAAGGTACAAAACTTCGTGCCTGCTTTGTTTTGATACCCCAAAGAGGAAAAAAAAACGATCTTGAACTGTGCTATGTCGTAAAACTCATGTCTTTGGTTGAAAATTCTGCGTGTCTTAAGGGTTTAGATTGCGGCTGTGGTTGTAGTTCTGTTAACATGTGGATAATTATAGATAAACGTGACTGATGAGACTGCGATTGTGTTTGCAGACAGTGTTTTGAAATCTTGGTATGTGAGTGTGATTGTTTGTGAGATGTGCTTATGACTGTTCTTGGTCTTTTACAGGAAGAACCAGCTTAAGAAAGTTTGTCAAGTGCCTTTTGAAAATCTCTCCTCGGACATATGGGCATGGAGGAAATATGGCCAGAAACCCATAAAGGGGTCTCCTTATCCAAGGTTTGCTTTGAAGATCTTTTTCACTTGCAATTTTCCAAAAATGTGTTGAAAGTTCATGATTTGGTTCTTTTCTAATTTGGTCACCGTCGATTTAAAGGTTTATAACCCATATGTGCATGGGTTATAAAGGTTTTTGAGATCTCAATAGTGAATTTTGTAATTAATTATCACATGAAAATCCTGCTTTATGCTTTAAGTAATCAAATCCTAGCTTCTAAAGATGGGTACTTTAGGGTCTAATTGAGGTTGCTTTGTTTTTGTAGGGGGTACTACAGATGTAGCAGCTCAAAGGGGTGTTTGGCAAGGAAACAGGTTGAGAGGAACAGATCAGACCCAACCATGTTCATAGTGACTTACACTGCCGAGCACAACCATCCTGCTCCTACTCACAGAAACTCCCTTGCTGGCTCCACACGCCAGAAGCCACTGGCCCCTCAAACTGCCACCACCGAACAAGACTCTGACAAGATCAAGAGCCTCACAAAACCCTCCTCCCCTGCCACCTCAGGGGCAGAGGAAGAGGTTCCAGCACAAGTGGAAAAGTCTGAGAGCAGAGAAGAGAAAGAGGATGTGATGGATGATGAGGAAGAAGATGATTTTGTTTTGTCTGACATGGTGCTAACAGATGATTTCTTTGAGAGCTTGGATGAGCTGAGTCAGCTCACTGCCCCTTCTGTTGTCACAGGAGACTGCTTCAGTGACCCCTTTTCAGCTATGGCAATCCCTTCTTGGGTGGCCAGTGGTGCTGCTACTGCCGGTGGATGCATATGATTCTTTTGGTGACAATTGTTTCATGCTTTTCATTGATGACAATAGGGACCTTTTTTTATCTTTGTTTTTTGTTCTTAGAGGAAATGGAACGTTTTGGAGGAATCTTTACTAACAATGGTTCGTGAAGGGGAGGAAAAATTTTCCCGAGTAGAGAGTAGTAAGGTAGATCAAGCATTTGTATCTATCTCTTTTAATCTTACCATCATCAGAGATTCATAGTTTTATGCATTACCTATGTTAATGTAAAAACAGTTCTAGTTTTTGTTGTTGTATGGGTATGGTCCTTGAGTTGTGATTGAGTTCAATGTATTTGAATTTTGACATTGGTTGTGGTATAAATTGGAAAAGCACTTTTGGGTTGACTTATAGTTTTTCTTGAAGGTAATGATTATAATTGTGTGAGTGTGACAAAGGGGTTCATGGTTGTTGCTTGTTGGGTATATATTCCAGTAGTACTGTGGAAGAGCACCAATTGTAGTGAAGCTTTTTTTGGGACACGAGGGGTTAAGGTAATTGAGGAATTAGATTCCATGAAGCATATGCGTTTTTTATTTATATGTTATCTGCCTCCTCTCTGTTTTATTCACATAGAAGCAAAGTATTTCACGTCAGCTACATGCCTTCTCCAAATGAGAGACACGTTTGCTTGAAGTTAACATGTTAGGCTCACCATTTCTATGGTATCTGCCTTTTGTTTGGCTCCCAATAACATTGCATCTCATCCCTAGTGGAAGCTGTCCATTTACCAAACTTGCATAACCTTTAAAAAGGAAATAAATATGATAATTAGGTTTTATCATCTTCTCAATATCTATGGAAGTATATAATTATATATACACTTAACTATATGTTCAAAATTTTACGGTGAAATCGTTAACTATTTGTTAACGTGTATTATTTTAGATAGTGAGATGGAGAGTTATTCCATCACATTTTATGTTGTCTTTTTCTATTTGTCGTTCTTCTTGCAATGTCTTTCTCTTTTTTACTTTTTCAAAGTCCGAATCGAGTAGGTGGACACCCGAAGCTCAAGTTAGTTAATTATATCGATCAGTTAAGTTTTAAATGTCCAATAAATACAATCACTTATCTCTTTACCTTATCTTTGTGTTTATATATTTTGGAGTGAGTTTTTGGTTAAGGCTTACCCAATTGCGACCCAATAGCCATAAGTATACTTTATTTTGTTAATCATATTGAGTTTATGCTGATGACTTTAATATGTACGTTACCGAACGATCATCTCTAGAGATGACGATTGATCAATGAATGTGATCTCCAAGGTCACTAGGAAATATTCATTCTTATGAGAGTTGACCGATCAGTCATGCAAGAGATACGTTGACCGGACGATGTATACTGTACATGTATATTCATATATTTATAATAAATATGTGAAATTATTGTATATTTTTTCTATTTTATTATATTTTATGTTTATTTTTCTTAAACTTAAAAGTATATTAAGAGAATTGATACGTGAGAAATCAATGAAAAATGTTTTTAATTTGCTATCTCTTAAGTGTCTAACACGTTATTTAAAGGTCAAAAACGTGTTTTATACCATGACATCTAAAGTGATAGAAAGTTTTGCTAATTTATAGATTCATATTAGTAAAGATAAACCCGCGTTATTTATATTTTAGAGGATTTTGGATTTTCCGTTGTTTGCCCTAGAAAAATATTTATTTCATACAATTGGAAGGAAAGGGAAAGGACAAGTCGAATTTGGTGATGTATATATATGCAATTAAAGGTAGAATTTTTGTAGGAGCCGTGTGGGGGTGAAAATGTGAATAAGGTGATTGTTGGAGCATTTTGCAAATTGTTAACCACGTATTTGGATAGTGGTATAATAGCCAAAACTATCTCATGAACAACGATCCTTATCCTTCTACTAATGTAGATGGAAAAAAAATTTAGATAGCATAAATTCGTTTCTTACATGAAACACAACAACTTGGTTCTCTGTCTCTTTTAGAAATCAATATGGAAGTTCTACTCAATCCAACACCCCATTTGAAAAGTTTGGTGGGAATTTCTTTCAAACTTTTTAAAACACTGAAATTCAACTGTGTCGGTAATGGGGCAAAGAATTTACCAAAAAAACATCATCATAATCATGTCTTTTACTTGCCGGAAATTTATGATTTTTGTACAACACCTAAACAATATAACTGATAAACTAACACATGGTTCTTTAAAAGCCAAACTTGATGGAAGAACCTTCAGCTGAAATAACCAAACTTTACATGTTGCAATTAAAAAAAGAAAGAAAGAAATACACCATTTTTTGTAGAAAAGAAACTAAATCACTTAAATTCCTTTAATACTCAATTAGGGGCATCCTATGGTTAAGGAAGGATCTTGTATTGTAGTGGGAAAATCGAACTTTAGCAGACAAAACTGTTTGAGCAATTCACCATCCACAAGCATGGGTGGTAAAGAATGAAGGCCTCAAAAGTTGACCTTTACTGAAGCGCATTTAGGATCACATCAAGATAAGCTTTTATATGAACACAACACATAACAAAATTATACACTCAACCTAAAACCTTGTCTGAAACATGCATTATGTCTGAGTTGGATACATGTGTCCAGGTTCAATATGCCATATAATATTACTGTATTCTATTTATTATCATCATTGCATAATTAAGACATGTTTTCTCTCTCTTTCTCTCAAGGGACCTATCAAATCGCTTCCCTAATGACACTTCAAAAGGACTTAAGAGTATCAGAGATGCAGAGTTCCTCCAGTTTAACAAGTCATTTCAAGTTGTTTTGAATATACAACTAACTTGAATAGTATGAGGAAAACTATTGATAGCAGATTCTATCCGATTTTCTTAGGCCATTAGTAAATTTGATTTGTACTATTTCAAGAGTTTATGAGTTGTTGATGAGGCAAAGTTGGTAAGATGGTTTTATACTTTTACTGATAGAAACATTTGTTAAGCCAGATTTAGAGCACAACACAGATTATTCACTTAGCAGATAAAAATCATGGTTTTGTTACTGAAAGATGAAAAAGAAAAGCAAGCAATTTAATCCCTTTTTAAGATTTATTTATGGCATCCTCATTTTCTTCCTTTTTGCATCTCAACTAATCAAATAGAACAATTAAAACCACTGCATTCTGAAATACCAGTGTTTATTTTGTCTGTCATTTTGGGTCTACTCTTGTCTCCTAACACTCTGTCATGTTTCAGTTCCAGTAAGTACAAAGCAGTAACAAAAATATTTCCCTCACAATTAGAAACATAGCATCAAAATCAAGGTTTTAACTCACATTTTAAACTTCAGATGCCACAATGGTCAAACGCAACCAAATTTTATCCCTTCTACCTAACGGCTAGAATACGACAATTTATAGTTTTAATTTATTATCATTATAATCAAGAATACATTATGGCCTTTGTTGAGTTAAAAAGATATTTTCATAAATTTTTCAGAATTTAACTCTTTTTTGTTTTTTTTTTGTTTTTATAAAAGGGTATTGTCCTCTTTTTAATTCAATTTTTCTTTATAATTCTTACCAAAATTTGGTGTTTAGACTTTTTCACAAATGATCATATCCAAGTGAAAGAATTAAAGTGAGTATAAGAATTTTATAATTTATGTAAGTATATTGAAGGCAGTATGAGAATGTGTATGGATCTTATGAATTTTGTTATAAAATAAAAAGTAAATTCCTTTTGCCATTTTTATGATAATTTAGTCTGATCTTATATTGTGTTATATTCTGTTTATATATGACATAAAAAAAATATATTATAGAATCAAATTGTGGATATTTGACCATATATTTTATTAATACACGGTAAACTATACTAGTAAAAAAATAGCGTATAACATATTTTGGACCTTTCACATCGAAATCAAGGTCAACGTCATATCAGGAAACGTTAAAATTCGACGTTAATAAATTTTTTTGTATTTTTTAATTAATTGTGATCTTTTTTACAATTTTACGATACCTGAAAAGTAGAAAAACAACAAATTTCAGTTTTTGATATTTTATAAGACATGAACTATGAACGTGTAGTGTAGTATCAACAACAAACAAACAACAATAACCAACAACACACAAGTTCAATCAAACAACAACAACAATGAATAAATTCAACCAAACAATAACAACAAACAAGTTCAACAAAAAAACAACAAACAAGTTCAACAATTAAGTTCTTCAAAACGAAAACGAAAACTAACCTTCAAAAGGTGGCTTCGTCGGAATAAAGTGTTTTCACCAGTGAGAGAGAAAGCAGAATGCGCCTATGAAAGACAAAAACACGAAAATAATCGGTCAAAACAAACGAAAATCATACATAAAGTAGTTAATTAACATGCATTTGTATCAAATGAAAGAAATATTATATGTGATAGTCGTCAAACTTCGTTCAAGAACAGTTTGAGAAGAGAAGAGGGTCTCGTGCGTTAATATAAAATGAATGAATTTTCAATCTCGCACTCAAATCTTTATTGAATTCACTAACATGTTTTATATCCTTTTACGTCAAATTACAACTCTAAACGACGTTTAATAATTGCATTATTTACAAAACTGGCACCGGTCATTTTTAACATTGACTATTCAGTAGTTAGACGTTAAACGCACGACGTTATACGCCGTTTTTGCATTAGTGTTAACTTCAGATGATAATATTATTTAACTAATCTAAATTAATAAATGAGTCTTTTTAATCACATTCTTTAATATGTTTGTTGAACTGAATATGTATAATTATATTTTTGTCTTTAGGATGATGAAAAATAAATAAATTGCTTTTAATTTGTATTTTTAAGCCACGTGAATTTATTAAATATACAAAAAAAAAGTATACAGCATTTGAGATTTTTTTATGAAAAAATAATAACATAATAGTAAAAAAAACAAAATATATTATGAAGAACAATAAGCATGACAATAATAGTCACATAAAAGATACTAAAAGAAAAAAATCTACAAACATAGATTAGTTAATCAAGTTTCACTGATATAAAATATGAGTATATAAGATAATTAAATAAAAAAAAGCACGAACAATTATCTAGAACTAGCCAATATATGAAATCAATAATGCTATTAAATTTGAAGAGAAAAATAATAACAACCTAAAATAGAGCAAAAGTGTCATGATTTTTTTCTATTTTGAATTGACGATCCCAACTTTCAAACTAAAGCACTATATGGTCATGAAATTTCTGTCAAAATTTCAGTTTAATCAAATAATGAATAAAGTAAGAATCATTTCTTTAGCGAAAAAACTAAGTGAATGTATCAACAATTTTTTTCTCTTTTTTTCTCTCCCAAAGACTGAAAATAACTCATCTTTTTAACTTAGAAGACACTTTTCAC